TGTGCTGCAGAGGCTGCGGGCAGCCTTCCCAGCGCTCAACTGCTGCACCACCAGGGGAGGCCCTAGGTGCCCACTATTTTAACTTTCTTTTTACGTGGAAGATTTGCCCACATTGCTTCCACTGCTCATCAGTAAATTGGAGACTAATGACTGCATGTGCTTCTCAGTGATGCAAAAGAATCACAATCTTTTTAAAAGACAGTGTCAAGACAAGGAAATGGCAAAATTGCCCCAAAAGCGACCTTTTTCCTTCTCTTTAATCTACCTGTAGAAGGGAACTAGAAAATAGAAATCATTCCCTAAAAAAGTCATTATGTCTTGCTTAATCAATTTGATCTTTACAAAATTAGATTTTTTTTTTAAAGATTCATTTATTTGTTCATACAAGCACTGGGTACAGTCAGAAGCGCGGGAGGGTGAGAGAATTCACCAGAGCCAGAGCGGGGTGCAGAGCAGGCAGAAGGACCGAAGCACACTGCTGAGGGGAGCAGCGGGCGGCAGGAGAGGTCTGCGCGCCATGTGGGACCCTCCTCTGGTGGCCGGGGAGTAGCCGGGGATCGAACCGGCACTGCAGAGGCTGTGGGCAGCTTCGCAACCCAGCGCTCAACCGCTGTGCCACCAGTGAGGCCCCTAAATTAGAATTCTTACACACATTTACCAATATTGCTTTTTTCTTATAAAGCAATCACCTATTTGCTGAAATCAGAAAAACTGGATACTTGATAATAATTTTCTCTCAGGGATTTGAATTAGACAGCACAGGATAGACAAAGTTTCTCTTTTGCATGTACACAGATATATAATTATTGAGATGGTTAATTTATGTAGTTATTTCATTTTAATTTTAAAACAGCCTGTGATTATCTTTAATTTATAAAAAATATACTGATATCAAGTGCCTGGTCTGAACTAGCAGATTTTATCACCAATTGATACATGTGTCAGAGTTGGATAAAATGATGACTGTAATTGTGGCATTCTTAGAGTGTGGTAAAATTATAGAATGTGTTTTATTTTTTACAAATAAGCAAGCATATTAGGAAAATGATAAATCTTAGCAAAGAGTATGCTAAGACCTACCTCCTTCAACTGAAATAGATATGTAGGTTATAACAAATTAACTTTCAGTAAGATATCACATAGGAATTCAGGGACTTTAACATGGAAGAGGATAAATTGTAACTACTTCTCACCTCTATGTGTCCAGTCTCTGGAAACCTGGGACTGAGCATGAATGTTGAAATATAAAATTGTTTTTCTGCCATATTCTATGATACCAAGTTACTTTATACTGTCAATATGTATAATGTAGTAAGATGTTTCAGGCTAGCTACTAGTTTTGAACTTCAATAAAAATAGATTTGCCTTCTAGGATTCATAGTGTGATAAAAGACAAAGAAATTGCCATGTATGTTATGATTAACAACATTATAATTAACATACATTATTATCCAGTGGCTGTATACATAACATACATATGATTCATATGCAGTCCTGGAGGAGTATACAGTGAGAATGAAGGATGGCATTCTAAAAAAGGTAACATCTGAAGAAAGTTTTGATAATTGATAAATGAATATTAGTTTATTAGGATTCCTGCTGTAGGAATGATGCTTAATTGCAGTCTCAGAAATTGAAGTTGTCACATAGTGAAGACAAAGCTTTGTTTAGTTTCTGATGCCTTAGTACAGGGCATGAAATATAATAGGTTCTCAATACATGATTTTTGACTAGTCAGTCACTTTTGTAATGACTATCTTTTGGGATAAACTTAAGTATCTCAAATTAGTATGTCTTAGTAATTATATTTGCTTTGTGGTTCGCTTAACATAAATCCCTTATTTTTCCTTAGTGAACATTTATTCTTGTAATTGGTGAACAGTTTGAGGTAGACAACACTAACTTTGTTGATTGTCTCAGTTTTATTTGGATTTGGGAAACAGATTAAGCTGATAAAAGAACAAGAACTAGAATCCAAGTTGTCTGTCTAGTTTTCTATTTTACATTTGTATTTATGGTCAGTATTTAAAATATTTAGCATGAAGATGGGACCTTCCTGTATTGACTAGAATTTATGGAAAGATACTTGTTTGCATTGTGGAGGTTAAGTACAACTCTATGGAATCAAATAAGATTAAGGATGAGGTGACTCTAGATTTTCTGGTCAAAATGGTGCCAGTTCATAGTACCAATGAAACTGACCATGTATATGTATAAATGAAAGTTAAACTGTATATCATATATATATATGATGTAAAGATGATTTTACATGTTTATCATTTTAACTGATTATAGTTAAACTTGAAATTTGTTAATTGAAGGTTAATAAGAGTGAATGCAGAAGTAGTTACATAAGCAAATTAGCAAGAGGAGGATTAAAAAGAATGATCACACTAGGAAAGAGCAGTGAAAAGAAAAAAAGCTCAAGAATAGTCCAGTGACTGTATATTTGTCATGTAAAAATTTAGAAATAGGTGCCATCGACAGTTACAGAAATATCTTTTTAAAACACAGTTTGAATTTAACATCTATTTGGAAGTAAACTAAAATCTCACAGGGTAACTATCAGTCTACAAGCTTGTAGGTGACATGTCACCTTGCCTTTCTGTGCAGAAAGGAGAGCTTCAGGACTCTAAAACTAAACCGAGACTGGACACATTTTTTTAAACTAATTTTTAACCCGACAGTTCTTTTTTGCTAGTCAATTTAAAATACTAGCATAGGGGAGGACATGGCTGATTAACCTTTCTTTATGAGTTACATGTTATCCAGAGAATGCTTTTTTAGTGTTATCTTTATTAGTAATAAAATAATTGCAAGTATTCGAATTTGAATTGAATTTTATGCTTCTCTTATTTCTACTCTCTTCCATTCATTATAAAGATATATTTAAAGGGATTAACAGTATGAAGTATATGGCAAATATTTTGAAATTACTTTGATTTTAATGCTAAGCCTACTGAATGTGTACAAATATGTAATGATTTTATATAATTGAATTTGTGTGTCTGTGTAGTCAACCACTTCACAGTTTTTGTACTTTTAATCTCCTATATTGTTTTTTTTTTCATTTTTGTTTCATTTTAGTTTTCAGTACTTCTACCTTAAGAGGGTTTGGTCAGGATAATATGAAATGATGTATGTATATAATTTAAAAGATGTAGTGTTTATATTTTCATACTAAATTTATTGTGTAAGATGAACAAGCTTTATTATTGTTCAGGATGCATTGGAAGGAGCATATGATAAATACTCTAGTGATTTGACTACAAACATTTGTTTCATTTCATTGGTACTTCCACTGAGTATATTGTTGCTGGATAGGGGGAAAGCAAATATTCCATAAAGGGCTTAGAAAACATGTACTGTCTTCTCTCTAAATGCTAGTTAACTTAAGTGTTTGGATAAATTCTTTTTTAAAAAATAGAACTGTAAATGCAGAGTCTTCATTTAGAAGAACTTGAAGTTTTTTGCTTCTCTTTCTTTTTGATTATAGGTCTCATTTTTTGAGATTTACATAAAACCTTGACAGTCATGAGCAAATCATATGTGTTTGGTAGCAAACCTCACTGCATTTTTAGATGAATTTTTGGGAACAGCAATTTAACTTAAAAGGAAATTTACAATTCTTTTACCACAAATAAGCCATAGATTTTCAGTCTTTGTGTCTAATTATAGTTAATGAAATTGTGAATTATAAAGGGGGAAAAAGATGTAAACACAATGGAAGTGTGTACATTTTAGCCATGAGCTCTTTGACTCAAGATATAAAAATATAATTAATATCTGTTGATATACAAGTGGATTATATATAAGAGTAAGCCTGTTATTTGTAAAGCAACTTGCATGAAATAGGTATTTGTTTGGGGGCAGATATTAAATTTTAATAAATAGGATTAGAAAAATTAATTTATTAATTAATTGCCAACAAAGGAAAGACTCCATGTTAACTAGTGCTATAAACACCTCTAACATATGTAGGTTATTGGAAGAAAGGTAGACTGTAGGGCAATATCTCATTTTTAAAGGAAATCTTGAAGTCAACTGATTAATTTTAATAATTATTGTCCCTTTCTTAGCAAAATTTTCTACTATAGAAGAGAATTCATGTAACTTGATCCTTTTGTATTCTCAGAAAAAATATTGATAAATTATGTACAGGTATTAATTAATTCATTTTTGTTATTATAGCCAACAACAGTGTCATTATTGGCATCCAGTAAGGGGAGGTATGTTTCTGTGTAACAGGTTACATGCTGCTGAGGACAGGTGAGGCACTGAGAAAAATGATAGCCTTATTAGACTACTTATTTAATTTAAAAATCCTTTGGCACTTAAAGCATGTTTGCTAATATGATGATACTCCCCATAATGTACACTGTCTATACTAAACAGAAATTATACCTGTCTTTTCCTTATTTTCTGAATCATAAGTTAAATGTAAAATAACATTTATCAGACTGATCTTTGAAACAACCATGAGTAAAGAAAATGAAGAAGCTGCTTCAGTGATCATAACTACAACTTGTTAAAATTATCTTGGCTATTTTTGCAACAATACAAGTTATTCTTTAACCTTAATAATATCCTAACAATGTTTTAAGTTCAGGAAGTTTCTCAGGACAATATTCTAAAATTTCATTTCATTAATGTGAAACACTGTTTTGACTCCTACATAAATGCAAAATGAAAAGTTGTTTCGATTACTGTAATTGCTGCTGAAGAACAAGAAAAGAAAGAAATACTTCAACCCAAACACTTTATGCACAATATTCCTTTTCTGACATTTTGTAAGATATCACTTATTTAACAATTTAAGATAATCTTGTTGTCTGGATAAACTTGCTTTCTGGATAAATTCTCAAGTACAGTCCTTAGTTGATATCGTATAAAGCCTACCCAAATTGTGTTTGGGGTTAAGTGTAAATGAACTGATTTTGAATCCTATAATTTTTGAAATATCTATTCTAAATATATGTCTGTCTATGTTTTTGCCTTAGGAGTACAAGATCCTCAGCATGAGAGAATTATCACTGTGTCTACTAATGGAAGCATTCACAGTCCAAGGTTTCCTCATACTTATCCAAGAAATATGGTCTTGGTATGGAGATTAGTAGCAGTAGAGGAAAACGTATGGATACAGCTTACATTTGATGAAAGATTTGGGCTAGAAGACCCAGAAGATGACATATGCAAGTAAGTTGTTTCATTTTGATCCTGAGATTTTAAATCTTTTGTGAGGTTTTTCTGATGATCTGAGAAATGTACAACCTTATTGAAGCTTGTTTTACTTAAAGACCTCATTTAAATCTAAAAGACACACATATGTACACAATCATTCATTGGTTTCTACTTCTGAAAATAATTTATGTAAGATGATTTATAATCTGAATAGAGAATAAAAGGTCAAGTAAAGGAATTCTATTGTACTAGAAATCTAATTTACCATTAATGCTAAAAATTTTACATTTAAGGTTCCTGATAGCCAGATCAACAAAATAAACTATCAGCTATTAAAAGACAAAATCTGCATGGGTATCTACAATACACAGTATTCATTATCCTTAGGTACTCATCTTGTTACATAGACTGCACACACAGGATGAGAAGTTTGGGCATTTCATCACAGTGAAGACATACAGTTCTGAAAACAGAATTAGCAATTTAAGCTAACATGTTGTGCCAGGTAGAAATTCTTCATAATTTTCCTAGAAGCATTCATGAACAGAAGTCAGCTGGAGTATTTCACCCACGCAAAAGACCACCTACTATATGTCATCCAAATATTACTCTTTAAATCCTTCGTGAATACACTTGTCAAGGTTGGGTGGTCTTATTGAAGATTTTTCACTTCAGTGGCATTGGTATACCATGAAAATATTTTGCTTGAGCTTCTTTGTGAGGTTATTTTCTCTTTGATATCCAAGTTAAAAGAGAATTTTCATTTTATGGTATATTACAGATAAATATTTCAGTACAGAAGAAATAAACTTTGTACTTGCTTGTCATCACAATGCAAAACTTTAACATTTAGAGTTACTTTTTTCACATCTCTGCTTTCTGTGACTATGCATTTCTTGTTATTTTTTCTTAAATCTATAATCTTAGACGTTGAGAACTAGAAGCTGTCCAAGCTTTCTTTAGCGGCTGTGTAACTGAATCCTTCATTTTATGGATAAGGAAACAGTGAGCAGAGAAATAGCTGCCTTTGATTTGGTGTCATTCACTTCTTATACCTAAATGCTAAAACCCATTTTTGCTAATACCAACAGAAGTAGTTTTTACCATGATGAACTACCACACTTCTTTTCATGTAGAAGATTCCACAATCTTATCAAAAATTGGGAGGGGGTTATTTAATATTTTGCCCTACTTGCAAAGTAGCAGTTTATACTATGACAGTTTCTTGGCTGCTGACTGAAAACAGGAGACTCCAAGAGAGGGAAAGGACTGTCAGACAATAGTGTCCAGAGTAATAGTAGAGCTTCTTGTGTCTCTTCCACTGGGTCCAGTTCTCATAGGTCAGTGCCAAGAGGCCCACATGGCACCACCTACTGGGTGGTTCTGCAGAGAGGAAGCACAGACAGGGTACTGTATGTCTTAGAAAAAACACAGTTTTGTGTATGTGTCATGTACGTTAGTTAAATAACAAAAATTAAACCATTATCCATCTTGCCCCACCTCTCTTGTAACTCAGACTTATTCAATATGAAACGTAACTTAGGAAAATCGAGTTTCTTTTTTGTCCTAAGTTTTTTTTCTCTTGTTTTACTTGCTCACCTAATTTTCTGTAATGGTGCACATGTACTTATTTCTCTATGTATTATCCCATATAAAATATATTTTCCTGTTTTAAAACATATCACAAATGAATACTGTGTGTTTACTTGTGACTTGTGTATTTCAAAACCAGCAAAATTGAAAACCATGATATCTTTAAAGTTAGTTCGTGTATATAATTTAAGTCATTTGTTTTCTTTGATGTAAAATTGTCCCATTGTATAAATAACCTGTCTTGTATGTTCTACTTTGATGAGTGTTTGGCTTGTTTTCAGTTCTTGTGCAAAATGCATTGAAATCCATTCAGCCACTTTACATCTTTTGTCTGGTGAGTTCAGTCCATTTAAGGTGAATATTGAGACATGAGTGCTCTATGCCATTTTGCTATGTTGTATTTTTTGGGTGGTTGTTTTGGTTTCTTGTCTCTGTCTCTTTGTGTCTGTCTCTGTCTCTTTGCCTCTCGCTCTCTCTCTGCTTCTCTTTCTCGACTGCCTGTTATGTTTTGTTTGGGTTCCATTTCTGTTGTCTGATGTGTTGCTTCTATTATTTTTTGTTTGAGGGTTCCACTGAGCTCAGTGTGTCATGGGCTATTTGTGTGATCCTTGGACAGTCTGTTCTCTGACTGGTTCTAGTTGACCACATTGTTACTTCCTTCTCCTCTATATTAATTTACCTGTTTGTTTCCTCAATATTTGCTGTTCTATTGCTTTATAATAACACCTTTACAATTTCTTTCACGCATGACTTGGTGTTCATAAATTCTGTTAGATTTTGCTTTTCAGGGAAGCTGCTTCCTCTTTCTGTGTTGAATGTAATCTTACTGGGTAAAGGATTCTGGGCTGCAAGTCCTTTTCTTTAAGTACTTTAAATATTCCCTTACAGTCCCTCCATTCTTGGATGTTTCTACTGAAAAATCCACTGGCAGTCTGGCTGGCACCCCCTTATTAGGGTCTCTTTTTTCTCTTGATGTTTTTAATTATATTCTGTCCTTCAATTATAAACCAGAGACATCCTGCAGGGGAGGAGGCAGGAGAGGGATCAGAGGGAGGGAGGGAGGAGCACAGGGGACTGAGGTGATGGTGCACGGGTGCATTGGGGAAGGAAACTCTATGGGGCTACACCTGAGGGGGTGGGGGGAAGCAAATATTGTTTAAAAAAATAAAAATTAAAAAAATAAAAATAAAAAGATTACACTTCTAAAAAATAATAATAATATTCTGGCCTTGTCATTGGTTCTCAACATCCTTATTGTAATGTATCTTGGTGTGTGTCTGTCTGGTATTATTTTGTGTGGAGCTCTTCTGGATCGCAATGTCTGGTTCGTTTCCCAGATTGAGATGGTTTTCAATAAATTTTTCTTTCAATAAATGATTCTTTCAATAAATTTTCTGTGCTTTCTCTTTCTCTTCTTCTGGAACCCCCATGGAAAATATTATTTCTCTTTAATAATCCAGAGGGCCCTTTCTCTGTTTTCTTTTTTTTTATTCTTTTTTCTGTACATTGTTCTATTATGTTCTATTCTTCTGAAAATACAATAACCAATAGCAATGTATTTTCAAGCTCATTAATTCTCTCCATGGGTCCTGTTAGTCCTTAATTATATTTTTAAAATCAGCTGTAGTGTTTCTTAGTTCCATTATTACTGATTGTGGTTGTCTCATATTTTCATTATCTTTGAATTCCATAAGCATCGCCAGAACTATGGCCTTAAACTCCCTGCTGTCATGTCCTCAACTCTGCTGAACCAGGGCTCCTTTCAGGGTTATTTATTTTGCTCAGGACTGTGATGTCTTCTGTCTCCTCATTTTAAGTTTTCTCTGGGTCATAATAGGGATAGGTTTTCAAACTTTGTCTCTGCACCTGTTAAAGTAATTTGAGGATTAGTATTGTCAAGGGCTAGTAGGTCTAAAAAAGGTCCAGGGCAGTAGGGCACCAGAGATCACCTCCAGTGGCTCAGGAATTTGAACTCCTGCTGTGCTGTGAGTTGTGTAGTGGGATCCAGAGTGACCTCTCCTCCAGGCTCCCTGCTCAGCTTTAATGTCTCTTATAGGCTGTGTCTACTTCCACCCACTCTTTGTGATTTTTAAGCTCTAGATGTAGTGCTGAGCACTTCCAGTTGATATGGGGCCACAGGTCAGGAGTCATTATCTTTGCTTTTCCAGCAAGGAATCATCTGGGAGGGTTTGCTCCTATTATTGGTAGGTGCGTGGCTTTAGTGTGTTCAAGTGTTTCTCTGTTTTGGTTTTAGCCCTGGGGTGGGGGTGGTGTTTGGGATAGTTCAGCCTGGGTTTCAAGTCCTGAGCTCTTCTGTCAAGAAAGCCAGGGACTCTGCCTAGATTCAGGCCCCGCTGCTCTATATTGAGAACTTGGGCTCAAGTCAGCTGTCCTTGCTTTGTGCTCCCACCTGGCTACTCTTCAACAACACCTCCAGCCTGGGTGTTGCTCACATACTGCTTTTGCAGGTCAGTGCTGGATCCCAGGAGCCCCAATGTTGATGTGTGCCCTGGCTGTAGCTATTGGGGGCTCTGCACAGCCACTGTTCATCTCTCTGGTGTGTTCTACTGCCCTCTTATCACACTAATCAAAGTTCACTTAAAATTTTCCCTACACCTTTCGGCAGGCCAGAGGTCCCTAGTGTGTGCTGTTGTCATCCATTTTTTCCTCAGGTTTTTTTTTTAGCTGTATTTTTATAGCAACTTTTTTATCTTTCGGAAGCTGGTAGGCATGTGCACTCTGCTGCCATCTTGCTGTGCTGCTTCAGTTTCTTTTCTTGCATTTCTTAGGTTTATCTCCTCAATCCCTTTTCCTTTCTACCATGTAGAAAGTATACATCAATTTCTGTTTGTAATAGTTATCTTAAAAATGCTTATTTAACTTTAATATCTACATTGAATCAATGCTTATTTCCTTTCCAAAATATAAAATTACCTGCACCTCCTTGATGGTACAAGAGGTCTCAGCATTTGAAGCTATCAGCAGCCTCTGCAGCACGAGTTCGATCCCTGGCCAGGGAGCTGACCCACATGGCGCAGCAGACCTCTCCTGTCTCACCTGCTGTGCCCCTCAGCAGTGTATTTCAATAGATCCACCTGTTCTGCTCCCCACTCTCTCTGGTGAATCCGCTTATTCCCCCCACCCCCTGCACCTCTGGCCTGCATCCCACTTCTTATATGCAAAGATAAATATATATATATAATTTATATTTATATTTATAATATAAAATTACCTGAGAGCATTTTAACTACTGTGGAAAGCTAACTCCCCACCCAGAAGTCACCACATTAGTGTTGAGTTTATTATTACTATGGAGACAGAGAAGCCCACCATGAAAGTTTTAGTAGTGTCTAGGGAGGAGAGCATTCCCAAATTCTGGTAAAATTTTGAGGTGGGATGTAAGATGGATTTTTCAATGTGGA